ATAGTAACTATGGACCTATCTCTGCCAGTTTTGGAGATAAAAGGGAACCAAAATTTGCAAAGTTCAGTTTATGGTGAAAAGTAGGTCAAAGGTCAATTTTAAGGTCACAGAAAATTGCCTCTAATGACTTTCTTTTTAAATTCACGATTGTCGTCATCGTACCACGTGACCACGTAGCTCATTAACTGGCAGGCCAAGCAAAAAGGACGTTTTTTAGAGTCCAAAATTTACAAAATGAGCTTTTACTTCGTGTATTTAGATAAAGATATCGTTAGTTGAGCATGTTTTCTGAAGAATATGCTCCGTTCAGGCCATTCCGACGGTATGACGCAAGTCCTTTAAGTACCACAGTCACAGTGTCTTCTTTTCAGACAGTAAGATTTCTGGATTATATATTACATGTACGTCTTATCTGGAGATCTACAGATATACAAACTTAGTTACAAGGAATGGGAGCGTGAACATAGCGAAGTGAGTTTATTCTTGACCTGTTGATGACAAATATGGGTTATTAAGTAGGATATTAGGATACTGTATGTTGTAAGATGCCAAATATTAAAATCATCTATAACATTGAGATATGTACAACAAATTACAAAATGGTCTTGTTCCAAATAGCGCTTAACGCTTTGAGACCATTTAAAATGAGTATTATAAGGTTCTGTAGAAAATATTTATATCTAAACCATCATAGATATGTTTTAAAAATGTTATTATTATTATTATTATTATTTGAACGAACACAAAGAAAACTGTTTGTGGAGATTTAATATCAATTTCATATATATAATTTTAGTATAAAGATATATGTAATTTTGACTAATGGAGGATATCATAAGCAGTATCTTCTCTCACATCATATGGCCTTTTTATGTCTCCTTGAGCTAAAGGTTCAATACGATGCCGAGAAAGGAGCAATAAAGTGACAAACACAAGTATGATGTTCGAAACTTGGCCGATGCCGGCCGCTTTTATTGTGAATCCTTATACTAAAATGAATTAAATTTTGATGTTAAAATTAAATAATTGTGACAGTGCCAAAATACGTAGTTTTTACGCCTGAAAAGACTATTTTATATATAATTCCCAAAGAACATAGTGCAGACGTTTTAATTTGTGGGGTTGCAAAGAGGCCGAAAAGAAAAATCTAGCCAACGACCGGACGAAGCACGTCGATGTAATCTAAAGTAGAGGACAAGCTAAATCGGCCGAAACGGTGGACGACAGATAAGCTGCGGCTTGCTACCCAACCCTAACTCCCTCATTCTGAGGGAGGGGGAGGTATGCTCTTTTCCTTATGATAAACGGGCCATACAGCGAGGAGTAGAGCTCTCCATTCTGTCATCCCTAGTTAGAGAAATTTAGAAGTAGAAATTTTAAGTGTGCCCGCCCGGTCTATTATGAATTATGTCTACCAAAAACCAGTAACTGAGCTCCTGAAATAAAGGGTATAATGGAGATAATAAATCACTGGTCAGCGTGAATTGCTGGACCGAACAAGTTACAAAATTGAATGGGAAATTAAAAATAAAAAGAAACGGATGAGAATCTGCATGTCTTGCTAGATCTCTGAGGGGGTGGGGGGGGGGTGAGGTCCACATGTCTTGCTGGACCCAACAAGTAACGTCACTTGAAGTTAAACATATAAAAATTTAAACATATAAAGATAAAAAGAAATGGGTGGGAGAGAATCTGCATGTCTTGCTAGATCTCCGGAAAAAAGGTGGGTATGAGGGCCGCATGTCTTGCTGGCCTTCAGCATGAAAGCGAGATTGAATGTAAAATGATAAATGATAACTAATATAGGCCATGGACAGTGTCACTAAATGAAACTCGTGAAAGTCAGATTTGTAAATGTCACTAAACGTGCGCGGGTGAATCCTCCGTGCAAGTATATCAAATGCGCTAAATAGTCCTATTCAAATTGTCCAGTTGCTTGGCTTGACCATAGTGTTGGAGTGCGGATGTATTTCTTGAAAGAGTCCGAGTTCCAACGACCAAGCCGTCTTATCTGAGCGTCCGACAGGTTATTCTGCACCGCCAGGGAAGCGGCTCCTATTCTGAAACTGTGTCCTTTAAAGCGCGTAGGGTCCAAGTGACAGAATCGAAGATCCCTCGTCAGCTGTTTGTTGAAGACGTCCCGATGAATGGGTGTGAAGTTCGGGTGACAGAAAAGTGGGCCTGGTGTGTCCCCCCTCAGCTTGATGTAGTGATCTAAGGCACTTACCCCGCACAAGGGATTGCGTTGAGGGCCAATAACAATGGAAAAAGGAGAGCCTTTAGTGTTATGCTTGTAGTTTGAAATTACTAATTCGACTGACTGTTCCCCATCATGATTCAAAAAGAACTTTACGTTTTCCCGGGAGAGGGAGGGGTTGGGGGCCCCCGATCCCCTAGCTGTCATCTCGCCTATACATAAAAACCCGTGAAAGGCTGTGAGGTACATTGCCCTGAAGAGTGACATGGTGTAGGAATTGGAAAGGGTGAGTTCCAAAGCTCTAACAAGTTTTAGGAGTACCCCCACCGTGATGGGCAGTCTGGAATCGGCGGATGGATTTAATTTGTGTACACCTATGAGTTGTTTCTTCACAATGAAGGCATTGGTGGGGTCAAAGTGGCCGGCCAGTTTGTGAAAATAGCTCAATTTTGAGATTTCTGACACAATTGTGTTGGGGGAGAGATTCTTATCTCGGAGGTGGGAAATATACAGAAGTATGTCGGCAATCGTGGCCGGGAAGCAGGGGGAAGGGAGACCTATCGTGGCCGTCTGAAATGAAGAGAAGTTATGGAAAGCTTTATCATAAGCCTTTCTGGAAGATGGTTCCAGGGCCGCATCCACTAGTTCCCTGGTAGACTCAACAAGTTTTGAGGTAGAAGATGAGCCGGGAGCATAGTCGGACATCTGGACATGGCTGGAGCAGATCGCTTGAATGATTGTACCTGAAGACGTGATAGGGAATCTGCTAAGTTATTCTCGCAACCTGGGATGTGTTTTGACTTAAACAGAATGTTATTCTTGAGACAGGAGAGGACAAAATATCGGACCAGGTGCATGATGTGGGCGAGAATTGAGAAGAGCCCTGTTCCAAAGATCCCAATTAGTATCCTCCCAAGGGTCACCAGACCTTTCTTTGTTAGCCCTGAAGTTGCGGTCATAAGCTAACCAGTCCCCCCTTAGCCCTGCTAAGACCCTGATGTCTTCAGCGTATTTAAGTAAATTGGGCGCCTCCTGGGGGTGTTTAAGGGTGTACACTGACATGAAAGTGTGAAAGGCCGTTGTCCATTGGGACAGGGAGGTGATCTGAGGCCTTCTGCCCTGGGAGACTACCAGTGTGATTTTACCGTGGTTGTTTTCCATGGCCAATGGGAGGGGGTCGCCGGGTTGGGGCAATTGCGCTGACTGGTCTTGGAGGAGTAGTGACATGTTGACAAACTCGTTCCCCCAAATTCGATCTTTTAATTTGTCGTCGACTAGGGCGTGTAAGGGAATGGACTTAGTTGAATACCTATTAGTCTGGGGGGATACTATACCTGTGTCCGCTGATGGAGGAGTAGGCGGAGGGTTTTCTGGCAGATTGCGCTGGCCCGACTGAGGTGCCACCGAGTTGGCAGCCAGTGTTGCCATGGCTTGTGACATCTCCTTGAGAATGTTGAAAATGGCCTGGTTGTCGACGGGCTGCGGGGTTGAATGTGAACTCCCAGAAGTGGAGGGTAAGGAAGTGTCCACAGAGGAAGGTGCAGATTTACGAACAAGTTGCTTCCCCTTACTGACTCGCGGACGTTTTTCCGATGCTGAAGAGGGGCCGGCGGAAGAAGTGCTCGCAGTAGAGGGAGTAGGGTGAGTTCTGCTTGCCCGGCGTTTGTTTGGAGTACTCTCAGGAGCTGTCGAACTTCTTGATCTCTTGGGAGGCACTGAAAAGTGTAATGAAGAGAGCAGCAGACAGGTGAAATTTTTTNAGAAAAACAGAACGGTTAGTAATGAAAACACCACAATAGGTACACGTCAGAAAAAATATTTGAAGGGTTAAATAATTTAATGGCGTATGTGAGGTTTCATAATAAGCTGTGGATGGCATTGGCAAAAATAAGCAATTTGGGTATTTTCTAACCCATGGAATGTTGCATAACACCCAACACTTACTTTTTTCTTAAAATAGCTTTAAGGGGCTTTTGCTTATCTTAATCTTATTGCATACATCTTTTCTTTTTCAATTTTTATTTACACATATTTGTATAACTTCTGTCTTCTGGTGGATCTTTCTCTAAATATATATTATCTATATTAAGTTATTAAAAACCTACATTTTTACTCATTTTCACGTTAGGTGTATTTCAAAAATTTGGATTACTCTGGTATCAGAAATGCACACACCCTATAATTTGCATGTACACAAGCATTTTATCGGCAACCATAGATCATCATGTCATAGATACAATTAAACATTTACAACGTTAACTTTACTGCATTTCACATCTATGTAGCTAGTGAGACCAATACAAAAAACATCAGTGAAGACATCAACAGTCCGCATACCCCCAGAGACAAAAGCTGCCCACTGCTGGATGGTGTACGGTCGGTACTCCAGGGAACAGCAATCCTGTCGGTGTCTTTCGATTAGACTTGCGGTCAGTGTGCACAGGGCAAGGTGAGATCTTCGCGCGATCAAGTACCTCTATCAGAAAATCTATACCATTGTAAGTGTAAGTCGGCATTCTCTCGGCAAATTTATCTTGCATTACTGACAAAAAAGGCAATCCATCTCTGTACGTTTTTACTGTTCCCCGTAACAACAATCCAAAGTCTCCTACAACAGGACCGTATTCTCTTGCTTCAGGCTGATCACGGTTCGAGCTGTTCACTGCGCGACAGCTGTGATATATCCTTCTCCTTACCTCCCAGACGTCCCGAAATTCATTGTCCATGTGTATCTCTCCAAATGATAGACGTTTGCCAAAATCTTTGCAGGCTCTAATGGTCTCATTCATGTTAACTTTTAAGTTTTTGGGTGTCTTAAAAAGCAAGGTGAGTGTGTATGCCGCCTTGAACATGTGTGTGAATAGTGACGGGCACGGGTCCGACTCTTCCTCGCCTGGGCAGCGTTCCTGGATTAAAAAAGAAGCCAATTACTTCCTTTACCACCAAGATCAGACAATGATTAACAATGTATAAACGCTTTTGGTATTTATTAATCGGCCAAGAAATTTAAGATTTAAGATATTAATTTTTTTCACCAATATCAGAGAAACCGCACAAAGCGTTTGCATAGTTTTTCCTCAGTTTCAGAAAGGTGCTATTTTGTATCAGTCAAACTTATTGGTAAATGTTAACGACGTTGATGCAACCCGAGAAAAGATATCTTTCTGTTCCCTATTTGAGAAACCAAGAAATTTCCCCTGTACCACAAATGTCTTCACACACACACACACACACACACACACACACTTGAGTCTTGCGACCGGCCATATTATGAAGAACTCATTTTTTTTCACATTCGATGCTGTTTTTACATGATCTAAATCGCCTTCGCTGTTTGACAAAAAAAAAAAAAAAAAAAAACTACCGTGAAATTAAGTTGCTATGCAAAAGCTAGATAAATTCTGTTTTCCGATTTAAGGATATTTGCTGTTTGTTAAACAATTTCGTAAATTTGTCTTGGCTAATCAAGTAGTCTGTACTAACAATAGTCTCTCCTTACCATAATAGTATGAACCTTGTTTGCCGTACAGGAATCTGGTATTACGGGTGCAAATGTATCCACCAAGGCGCGAAATCCAAAGGGGCTGAAATTTCTAAGCCCTTCCTCTGGAATAGCATACATAAAAGTCAATGTCAATTTCGGGTAATCATTTTCATCAAACGAAAATTAAGGTATACGTATATTATATGATATTAAGCTGTTTTCATTCCCAGTATATCTTAACTGTTAGAAGGATATGAAATATATTTGCGAGTAAAAACCAGGCAGAGTGCTCCGTTAAACCATGTCATCCTAAAAATAATATTCAAGGCCCCACCGTGCTCAGTGATTGCTTTTATATGATCTTATTTAAAATAATATTATCATTATTAATGTTATTATTATTTACAGGCTCTTGGCGTAATCCAACCATGGGGTCCATTGCATGTTATTATTTTTACGTAGACAATCGCCATTTTTGTCAACATAAGAAAAGCTTAGAAAATGAGCGTTCAGGTATGCGTAAAGGTAAATTAATGTCATGGGGTTAACTTAACTTAGCCAAACATGTTTCCAAACGTGCGATGATATCGATATGCGCGTGCGGCCGACAAATACAGTGCCCCCCCCCCAACCTGGGAGGACCACCCTTTGGGCCAATGTAAATGCAATAACGACATATATTGATTAGATAATTAGATAGTAAAGCCGCTTATATTCGAGATTCTAATTACCATTATCCTGTGCGATCTCCTCTGGGCACTGAAGAATTGTTGGTTTCTTCGTATATTGGCAAATCCAACAGAAGTGATTTTTGTAATAATGTATCTGCGTTGACCGAAAAAAATACACCACCTCTTGCGTGATAGGCAAACTGTGACCCCTTTCGCAAAGGTTCCGATAAGGGTTTCCCTCCTGACAATATCTTCCGCTTCGATGCCATTTATACCCTCTAACATGAGTGCCATCCTTGATGCACGGCCTACCGACGATACCTTTCGGTTCTTCAAAATACAGCTGGCAATCGTGAGAGTCATGGACAAGATGGAAAATGTCAGATGTGTTTCTGCTGTCTGCAAAGAAGTCACTAGAACTCTCAGGACAAATGACGAACGCTGGCCATGTTCTGTATGACGTCACACCATGACAAAAAGCACAGAATGAGTTCCGAAAGGTAAGTCCGGTAAGGGAATCTGAAACCGGTAAAACAGTCATTCCGTCTTCGTCTGTGGCGTTCGGTCTTTCACAGGCCGAGCGAATCATCACGTCCGACCAACCATTTGGACATGCGGAAACCATCCAGAAATGCCTGCGTTTTTGTCCCCAAGGACTAACCGTGTCTTTTGTCATCTGCGATGTACAGGTGACGTCATCAGGGTCTAATGTTATTGCATTCGCTGACGTTGACGAAAATTTGGAATCCAACTGATGTGTATGGCTGCAGGTAATGTTAACGGCGGAACAACAGTCACCAAAGATGTTGCAATACTCATCACAGTAACATGCTATATTAACAACAGACTTTAGACTGTTCCCATCGTAGATACAAAATTTTTCACCTGCAGTCACCTGACTCCAATAATTCGGTGCCGTGGCAGTCACATTTTCGAGAGGAACGGTGCTAGTTTCAGGTCTTTGGTTGGAGACCGTGGAAATATCGCTCAAATTGGCTTCACGTGTCAAAATAGCTTTTGTAGTTGCCGGCCGTCCTGGGTCACTGCACGGACTGTCGAAACACCCACTGCCTTCTTGCTGACAAATCACAGAGGCCATGAAAAGTGAGTGCATCACTATTGCTATTGCCACCCCCTGTAACATTGCGTACTTGCTTGTAGCACTGACCTTTATTGAGAAAAGAAAATACACAGCAATATGAAATACATTAGTAAAAATACACATAGTATTTAATTACGTATAGCCGACGTGAAGTACTCCTTAACGTTACTCACGTCTATTAATACATTTCACTCCTGGGTTTATTCTTTCCTGTGTTAGCTGCCACTATAAGTGAGTATTTTAGAATGTATATCTTAAAATGGTGATAGAACAATTCACTACTTTACTTTAAACACCAAACATCTAAAACAAATATCATTACCTCCGCCAAGGAGGTAATGGTTTCACCCCTGTTTGTTTGTTTGTTTGTTTGTTTGTCTGTCGACCATCAACATAACTCAAAAAGTTTTAATGAAATTTTCAGGAATTGATAACTTTCAGCTACGTA